GATGAAGACTGTTAACGTTTCATTTATAATAGTGTTTTAAACAATCCTACGAATTTTTAGCCGAGTGTGAATTTTTGTAACTTCACCTCTATTTTTTAGTTTAATTTGACCGGACTACAATAAGTTTTCGGTGTAGACGGAAAAAAATTGACTCGAATCAAGAAAATAATTTTGAAGAATTTCTCGTCTTAAATCGAACAGAAAAATTCTTAAACTAAAAAATTATTCTTAATAATTTAAATAAATTTTACTTGATTCAAGAATTTTTCGTCTTCTTCATAATAATGGAACTCTTCAAAATTATTTTCTTGGTTCAAGAATTTTTCTTTTGATTCAAGTTAATTTTTTTTTCAGTGTAGTTATAAATAGTTTCGAATTTTGTGCATAATAAAATTTGTTTATTTATTATTTTGTTTTGCACATATGAGCGTCGCAAGGTGTCTATCTAACATTGCTCTTTTCTAAATCTAGAAAACTTTTTTTCAAAAAGAAAGTTACTGTGAGATAAATTTTGAGTCCTTTAAAAGAAATTTTTCCTTACAGTGTAGAAAGTATCATAATTTTATAAAAAATGAAACTGGGTTCTCTACAGAATGTTGCATATTGCCATTTTCTTTTCCTCTATGAAACATTCTCATAAAAATTTATCAAGTATAATTTATCTTGTTTACACAAAAATTCTAAGATTTCACTGATATTTTATTCTATTCATCATAAAAAAAATGGACAAATATAATGGTCAACTAAAATGGTCAACTAAAATGGACAAAAAAAATGGTCAACTAATAAAGTCTTTGAAGCTTAATTACAATAAAAATGTTCCCATCACTACTCAACAATTGAAGTTTCAAAAAATATGACAAGACAGACATAAGTATTAAGCCCAGTAAATATAAACCTCTCAATCCAATTTATATTAGTTCAACCTAAAAAAATATTTTGATTTTTTAACCATAGCGTTGAAAATAAAATTTCAAAAAAAAGATAAATAAGTATGAATAAGATAAATATTTAATTGGCGATGATTGCAGCTGCTGAAATAAGAGAAGCCCTCCAGCACGCGATGAAAGTATCACGGGAAGGTAGCTGTCAGTGGCCACGTGCGAGAGTAATACCCGTGAGAGATGTCTATCCAAGCCCCTCAACGACTTACATTCCACATTGCGCGATTCTTCACAGATGCTCCGACGACACTGGCTGCTGTAGATCCGAATCGCTGACATGTGTACCCAAACAGTTCCACAAAGTTGAACTATACTTTTACGTGAGTATTTTGATC